GCGCCGGGGCGCCGGCGGGGGGAGGCTGGAGGCCCGTTAGCTGCCAACGAAGTCTTGTCCCAGTGTGCCCACGCGGCCAGGGCCTAGCTGGTCCAGACAGGAGCGAGCGCGGCCCACGCCCCCCAGCTCCTCTGCGCTTCGCCCCAGCCTCCTCCGGGCCTGGGAGACGGGCGGGGGCAGGGCCGGCCTGAGTCGCTCCCCCTCTGGTGGCTGACGAGCCCCGCCGCCTCGGATGCGCCTGGCCATCTGCAGCTCGCTCCTGCTCTTGCCAAACCCGAGTCTGACAAACGATAAGAAACTTGGAGACATACCTCTGGTGGGTGCCGGGTCTGCTGCTCCCGGCTCTCTGTGCGGGGGACCCATCTGGGGCTGCTTTGGGTTTTAAAAAAGCGCATCGCCTCATGCCGTCCGTTTCACCAGAGGAGGGGAGCCGCGGGGCGCTGAGCTGCCTGGCCAGGGAACCTTGTGCTCCGCTTGTGCTCCGGGGCTGGGCTCCGTCCTCGCAGCACAGGGAGATGCCAGCTTGCCGTGGTCCCGCGCGGGTGTGGGCCGGGCCCGGCCAGCGCGCGGCTGTCAGACGAGGCGGGGAGTGTATGGACGTCGCCACCGGCCTTTGCTCCCAGAGCGGAGTCGGGTCTGTGCAGCTGTGTGGATGGCTGCCCCGGGGCCGCGATCACGCCCTGGCCCTGCAGGGTGCGTCCCCAGGGGGGCGCAGGCACGGCTTCCTGGCAGGCGCTCAGCCAGCAGGTGCCAAGAGGAGGGAGTCGTTCCTGGTGCGTCCACTCTGCCCACCGCCGCCCCAGCCCAGGAGCAGCCGGGAGCCAGCCCTGCTCTCGGGGAACCGGCCCTCGCGCGGCCAGGCGAGGGCAGACGGGGCCGTCGGTCTCTCACACCTTCCTCTCCCGCGGGCGGGCGCTCTTCTGCCTCCGAATCTGCCCAGGACGCGGCTCAGCGCAGTGGGGAGCCAGGCCCGGGCGGCCTCGTCTCCCTCCATCCACATCCCGCCTGGCCTTCCCGCCTCCCGTCCCCCCCGCCCGGAGTCCCTGCCCCCTCGGTCACCCTGGCTCAGCGGTGCTCAGTCTCTGCCGAGGCACAGCCTCCAGGGCCCGGCGCTGGCCCTGGCCTCTGTCGTCTTGGCGGATCATGGGAGAGGCCCGGAGCCGTGCCAGCAGCAGCGTCTGGAGGGACAGCTCCCTGCGCCCCTGTTTTCCAAAGCCGGGAGGTGGCACTTGTGTCGCCCCGGCGGGCGGGGTCAGCCCAGCCCTGCGAGCCTGGGCACCTCCCACCTGTGTGTGGGCGCCAGAGGCAGGTCCGTGCCTCTGCCGCCCGCCCCCCCACACCACCCGCCTCTGTCCCCACGGTGCCCCTCACGCAGGGTGCCCGATAACATGCATGTGCTGAATTGGGGGGTGATCTCTCTGAAAACGTGTCTGTAACATCTTCAAAAGATTTGGAGGGATTGAAATACACTGTCAGATCTTTCAGCTCCTAGAAAAAATAGTTTGCATATGGCTGTGAAAAATAGCCCCAAGTCCGCTGCGCCAGATCTGTGGATTTAAGTGTCAATTAACAAAAAGGTTTTTCTTCTGGTTCTAGAAGCGAATGAATTGTGTATGAGACTTACAGCTCTATCCCAGAAAGAGGTTTTTTTTTTTTTTTTTTCAACTTCCTAAGACCATTTACAGAGCAAATTGCCTTGGAAACACTCAGTAAGCACACAGGGCTCGTTAGCGCCCACGTGGCACCTTGCAGTAGCGACGACGGAGAGTCTCTGAAAACGTGCTGTTCTATAAGGACCATTCAGAAACTTCCTCAGGTTTTAGTCCCATCTTGGTTTTCCACACTGGAGCTGTTGACTTTTCCCAAATCACGTTTTATACCCAGATTTCCAAAAACATCAAAAGCGTCCTCAAAGCCTTCAAGCTCATCGACGTGAACAGGACTAACCTGGTTCAAGCCCACGAGCTGCGGACGGTCCTGGAGACCTTCTGCCTCAAGATGAGAGACGACGAGTTCAAGAAGTAAGTACCGGGCGCTGCCCAGCCCCTGCCCCGCCCTGGCACAGGCACCGCTGTGGCCCCGGGAGGTGCCCACCGTGGCCCGTTCCTGCCCTCTGGCGGGCTCCGGGAGGTGAGAGCTGGCCATGGTGCCGAGTCCTGAGTGCGGTCCCGGGCACCTGGATTGCCCCGTCACCATGTGGCGGCCCCCGGGCACGCGCCCTCTAGCTGCGAGCTGGCTGACAGCCCACGCCGCTCGGAGCCAGCCACGTCACACCTGCTCCAGTGCACACGCTCCCTCTGGGCCCTCGTCCTGCCCAGTAACGGGAGCCGCGCTTTCCTCCAGGACTGCGGCGGGTGGAGTTGGGGCGTGGGTGCAGGGGCTCGGGGGAGCGGAAGGGGCGGCTGCTGGGGCCTGGGACAGCCTGGGACAGCGCGGCGGCAGCCGCTGAGCCACTGGGCCTCGCTCTGCTCTGGCTCACGCCGAGATGGCCAGCGTGTGGCTTGTGGGGCCGTGTGGCTCTTGAGTGGACGGCACTAGGAGGGGGCTGCCTCATTTCGTTTGTGGCTCTCGGCCAGGAGGCCCCCCCCCCGCGTTTCTAAACCTCCCCCAGGCCACGCCCCGAAGCCCGCACCTCGGGGTCTCACCCGGCCTGCGAGTTTCACTTCTGCACAGTCACACACAGGCCGCTGTTCAAGCAGGTGCCGGGGAGAGCACTCGGCGCGCCCGCGGGCCTCTGTGAGGAGTCTGCTGCCGGTGTGGCAGCCTCGGGCCCGACGGAGCCACGGGCCCAGGGCGCTGGGAGCCAGGGGAAGGCAGGACTCGGAGGTGCTGGCCTTTTGAGTATTCTCTTCTTTCCTCCTCGTTCTAACCCACCTCAGAATATAAAAGACATAATAGATGTTTTAATTTTTACATCTTTCCGGCTGGGAAAGTGTCCAGAATAAGATCCAAACAAAACAAATTAAATAATTTTGTGCAATTACACAGCAGAAGCACCACTCTTCAAAAACAGGCAATCAAAAAGCAAAACAGTGCTTTATTTGACAATAACCCTTGTGTTTGGCACTGGCGTCTCCAACCTAGTAAAATCTATAAAAAATGATACTGTCTGTTCCCCATCTCATAAATGTTGAATAATAAAGAACTCCACAAATTTTTATTTGAGATTTTTTTTAACCCCCCAGACAATAGAGTGTTCTCTTGATACGGCTTGAGAAACTTCACAGAATTGCTTCCCTTCAGAGTGGAAACGCAGGAGACTAAAAGCAGACCGTTTCGTCAATTGCTTTAATGCTGTTTCACGGCAGCCCGAGAACACGCTCCTTGAGAAGCTGCCTCGGTGCTGGCGGCCTTCCTCTCTGGAGCAGGAAGCGCAGTGCGTGGGGGAGCCCTTGTCTAACTGCTTTCTGTCTCCTCAGCCTCCGTCTCAGCGGGGAGGGGGCCGTGGCCTGGCTTGAGTCGGGAGTGCCTGGGGTTGGGTCTGCCCTCTGCCGCGCCAGCGCCAGGGCTTGGGGGGCTCCTGGACCTCCCCGAGAGCCCGTTTTCTCCTACAGAACTGGAGTCTGAGCCTCCCGCCGAGTAGGGCTGGTGTGAAGATTCCAGAAAGAGTGCAGTGTGCCTGCAAAGCGCCTGGCACGTAGTAGGTGCTTGTTTCGCAGTGACGGTTGAGGGGCCTTAACGGTTCCACAGATGCCCTTATTTTGGGGCAGCGACTCTGTGGAATAGGCCACCTGCAAATATCAGGCAGCCTCTGTCACAGGAGTCTGGAGCTAAGCCACCAGCCAGCTTTATTCCCAGTCAGGCTGTCTCAGGGCCACACTGTGCCCCTCTCCGTTGCCCTGCAGTCTGAAGCACCTGGATGCGGGCGAGACGCTGGACGAGGGCCCTTGAGTCAGCTCCCGGAGTCAGCCTGCCGCCCAGGGAAACACAGCAGGCCCGGCTGCAGGCGGTGAGGTTGGAGAGGTCACTCGAGAGTGACAGCGTGCCAGGCGGATGGCGCAGGGTGCAGACCGTCCTGGCCGGAGGCTCCTGGGAGCAGCCTCGGCCGCGCCCTCTTAGCAGAGGTCGGTCTCGCTTGCCTTTGCTGTGGAAACAAAGGCAGAACCTGTGAGATTTGGCTGCCAGGTGGCACCAGGCTTCATGTTGAAGTTTCACCTGCGGGAGCATCGCTACGGGGTTCTGTCTGTCTGTCCTGGACAGGGGTGCAGCAGGGCCCCGGCCGTGGGGCTGGACCTGGGAAGGCCAGGGCTCCTGGCGTGCTGCACTTCCCAGGAAGCGGGGCGCCGGGCCCCCAGCTCTGCAGGCGGGGTGCCGGCACTTTCCGAAGGGCGGCGAGCAGCCAGGGCCCTGAAGTGCCCCCTTTGGGGTCCTCCTTTTGCGGTCTCACACACGAGGGGCTGTGGAAGATGGAGCCGTTGCGGGAATTTCAGTGTTAGCATCTGGCAGCGCTCTGATCTCGGGGTAATTTTTCTTATTGGAACAATAGGCAAGATTCATTGAGGTGGGGAAAAAAGGTACGCATCGCACTGAATGACATTAGTCTGTTAAATTTGGAAAACAAAAATAACAAATACTTGAAGCGATAATTACTAAATTTTTAGAGAGCAGCATGAAATTAGATAATTATGGAAACCAACACATATGGAGATAATATAACCAAACATTTAAAAACTGTCGATTTTTTATAGATGCAGTAATGCAGAAATTATCTAGAAAGCCATTTATCAAGTAGCAGACTTGAATAATAGGAAACTTAAAAAGGAAAATCCAAACCTCTTTTTGAACCTTCACTTAAAAAAAGAGAGCATCTTAACATGTTTCAAAGCCAGATAGTGGGATTTTCAGCTTATGCGTAGAGTCAGAGAAGAGCTTTGCCCCTTCACCACCAGCGGCTCTGAAGCCCGTGCCATCTGTGAACCTGTTTGCCTCTGACACGACACGCCGCTCCAGGAGGTGGGCGGGAGGGAAAGCAGAGCAGGTTCGCTGAACCCCTGAGCCCTACGCAGTTTTTGGTTTTTGTTTTAAGATTTATTCATGCACACAGAACTGGGGTGCAGGCCAGAGGCGCAGGGGTGGTGAGAGGCTTCCCCAGGGACAGAGCCGGAGCAGAGCAGGCCAGTGGACGAAGCCCACTGTGAGGGGGCAGCGGGGAGACAGGAGGGGTCTGCCGCACCCTGGGGGTCGCTCCAGGCCTGGTATCGAGCCCATGCTGAAGCGGCTGGAGCCGGCTTCCGAGTGCTTTTCTTTAACCCGCCGCGCCGCCAGGCAGGGCCCCGCGTGCTTTTAGCCTAATGAACCTTTTGCCCACAGAGGAGGCGGCACGGGAGGGCTGCACTGCGCGTCAGCTCTCAGCTGAGTTTCCTGCTAACTGTCCCCCGTTACTGTGCGGAGGCCTGCCTCTGCTGTCTGCACTGGTGGGGGGCTCTGACCCGGCCCCTCACCTGGCAGCGGAGAGAACCCCTCGAGCGGCAGCCAGGCACCTTCCTTTCTCGGCTCCAGCTGTGCCTGCCCACGCCCCGGGGCCGAGAGAGCCCTGCTCCTCCGAGTTCTCTGGCCTTCCGTCTGGCACAGCCGTTTCCCAGGGCGGCTGCTCTACCTGCAGCTGTAGCTCGGACCACGAGTTGTAGCTCCTCGCCGGCCCGCGTGGCGTCTGCCCGTCGGGACAGTCTCGCTTCGCTGGGAGCCTGTGTCGTCGTTTCGATGATCAAAGACTCTTTCTCCTTTAGGTTTGCAAAGCACTACAACATTGAAAAGGACACCGCCGTGGATTATAATGAGTTTTTGAAGACCCTCACTACAAACAAGGACCTGAACCTCAGGTACTACACAGGCAGCCAAGGTGAGGATCTGGGAAGTCGCAGGCAGACGGCCAGGCCCCTGGGCCCTCGTCCCGCTCCTCCGCGCCTGTCCGAGGCTGTGCTCGCAAATGTGGGCACGGGCCTGGCGCTGTTACGGGTCGGAGCACGTGAACGTCCAAACAGCAGGGAGGGAGTCGCCGTGTGTCCACAGTGACGTGCTCTGTACAGCTGCCTCAGAAGCCTCAGTTTTAGTTGATGTCTCTCTCAACAGCTTTGTGAGGTGGGCGTTATCCCATTTTTTAGTTGAGGCAACTTGGTTGCAGGTTGCAAAATAAATGTCCCAGAGGCACAGGGCTGGTTCATGGCCGAGTTGTGGTCTCAACTGGTCAGCGCCAAGTCAAACTAAACACCTGAGAGAGAAGGACAAAGTATCCTTGGTGTTCACAGAGGGAGAGGCACTGCTGTGAAGGGCAAGGAGGAAGTCCGTGGCACCCAGGTCACGTGGTGACAGACCCTGAGGGGGACAGGAGCATTCTGGCGCGGGGCCCTGGGCCCTCTGTGCCTGGCCAAGCCCTCTGCGCTCGAGCCCTGTGGGCGCTCTGACGGTGCTGTGCCGGCTCCAGAGGCGCTGCTTTGTGTTTTCAGCCCTAGCTTGGCACCGTATCCTTGGCCCCACTTTTAAGCTCTGTTCCATGCCTGATTCTAGACTAAGCATGTTCCTGTACTGTCTCTTCATACTAACTACAGCCATGAGGCGGACGCTGGCACAGACGAGCAGAAAGACTGAAGTAAACACCCCAGTCCTGCCACAGAAGCTCCCTTGACACTCCCCCAGGGCCTTTCCACATGCAGATGTGCCAGGGACAGACAGAAATGGGTTCAAGTGGATGCTACTCTATATAAATATTTACTATCATCTGAGTGTGTCGGTAGAGCGGACACTGAATTGAAACTGAGGGATGGTGACTGGATCTGGGCCGGTTTTCCTACCACAGGTCCCTTGCTCCCCTTTTCCGGGTGATGGATGGGCGCCATGGCTCCTGGAACTGAGCCCAGCTCTGGAGGAGCCCAAGGCTGGCCTGTATTTCCTCCTCTTTTGTGATTTGCTTCTTTTAGCTGGTTGCCCGAAGAACTACTTATTTCTGAATTTCCAAATTCGAATGCAAATTCAACTCTCCAAAGTTTTTTAGTGATATACCTTTGACTAAACTTTCTCTTCCATTTTCCAGATTTTTAAAAAGATTTATGTATTTATGCACACAGAACTGGAATACAGCCAGAGATGCAGGGGCAGTGAGAGGATTCACCAGGGACAGAGTGGGGAGCAGAATAGTCCACTGCTGAGGGGAGCAGCGGGCGGGTCAGGAGAGGTCTGCCACGCCGTGTGGTCACCTCCGGGGCAGGGATTGAACTCATGCTGAAGTGGCTTTATCTTCTCAGTGCTGTGCTTTAACCCGCTGCGCCCCCAGCGGGTTAAAGATTTTTCAGATCTTTAACCTCAGTGATGCGCATTATACTTATGTTGGGTTGTCTTGTCCTTTATATCTATTGATACTACATTCTTTGTGAGAGCTTTGTTCTCTTTGCCTTCTTCCTCTGTATTTGCAATGCTGTAATTTTTCTTTTTAGGTCTTTTAATTATCCCTGTAATTTGATTTTCATCAAGGTCTGTTTTATTCCCCGCTATTTCTACTTAAGTTACTGCTTCAGTAATGGCGTTTCCTTTGCTCCACTCTATTACTTTCCATCTCATTTGTTCTGTCATCGTCTTGTTTTGCTAATTTCATGTTCATAGTATGATGTTCTGAGGGCAGTTGTATACCTTGAACTACATTTTCTTCCAGGTGAGACCTTCATCTTTTTGTGTTTTGGTCTCTTTCCTTCTCTGTTCACCTAACCTCTGTCCCTGTTTTTTTTTTTTTTCTCTGTAAATTTTGCATCATTAAAAAATATGGATAAATTGATCACTTTTTAAATTCCATTATATATCTTTAATTAATCAACATTTGCATTCACATAGTAATGTACAGGACGTGAAATGACCTCACAATTCCATCCTGTCCTTCTTCCCGCCTTTTGTCACCTTGCCGCCATACATCTTACTTTTACATACATTAGAAGCACAAAATGAATTGCTACAGCTTCTGTTGGCCTCTGAGATTTCCCATCTGTTTATGCATTAGTAGTATATTTTCCTTTATACTCCCAATGTTGTAATTTTAAAATATTTTAAAATGATTTAAAATTTTTAATCTACTTTTTCTAGCAACTACATCTCTTCAAGATTAGTCTTCACTAATTACTTTTCTTCTTGAATGTGGATCATGGTGTCCTGCTTTCAGTTTTCATTTTTAAAAAAAGATTTATTTTTATGCATACAGGAATGGGGGTGCAGACCAGAGGTGCGGTGGGTGAGAGGATTCACTACAGACAGAATGGGGAGCAGTACAGTCAAATTGACTGAAGTACACTGCTGAGCGGAGCAGTGGGCAGTTAGGAGCGGTCTGCCACGCCCTGTGGGTCAGCTCCCTGGCCGGGCATCAAGCTCACGCTGCAGCGGCTTTGGACTGCTTCATTGTGCTGCGCTTTAACTTGCTGAGCCACCAGGGAGGGCCCCTCGTTTTCATTTTTAATACTTCTAACAAGTTTGGAGTCTATCCTGATGCAATAAATTATGCATTATAGAGGCTCTGAATGCTGTCAGATTCCTCTAAAGAATTTCAGTTTTTGTTTTAGCAGTCAGTTCACTTGGCTGCATACAAACGCTAATCTTTGTCTTCCCTGCCAGGGGTGTGAACATCTGAAATCTTTGCTCTGTTACTTTAGCTTTAGCCGGCCTTGCAGGCGCGACAATCCACAGGTCAGGAGCTAGCCAGCGATTTCGGCAAACCCATGGCGGTCCCTCTACGCCTTTCTTTATGCGCGTCCCCTCCTTGCAGTCCCATGGCAGCGCACTAGACCTTGGGTTTATGTCTAAATTCCAACCGCCTCGGTGTTTTCCTCCGAGGTCTGTCCTCAGGCGAAGGCCAAGAAATGATTGTTAGTCCACTTTGCCAAATCTTGACTCCCGTTTATGTCAGTCGCTTCGCAGTGCCTCATATTCTTTTGTTTCCGTATTTGTTTGGAGTTTATAATTGTTATCTGCTGGAGTGTTGGCTCAATATGAGTCAATCCAGCATGACTGGAAGCAAAACTTCTGTCTACCTACATTCATCCTCACCTTGATTCAGTTTATGCTGGTAATTTTTTTAGGTGTATATAAATCATTTTTATTAGAGTTTTCAGATAAATACCTAACTCTCGGTATCATACAGAATTTCTAAAAGTAATATAATAGTTTACTTTTACATCATTTTATGCCTTTTCCATCTCAGTTGTCATCCCCGTGGGCTTCCCATCACCAATTCACCTGTGTGTCATCACCACAGTCCCATGCACTAACTACCCCCCCACCATTTTGGACCCCATTCTCCCCTCCACCCCTGTAAAATGTCTCTGGTATATAGTTGGTCGTTATTATTATTTCCCCCCCTGGTCCTTTATACTCCTACTATAAGAGAAACCATCTGGTATTTTCCTTTTCTTTCTGGCTTATCTCACTAAGCATGATCCCTTCCAGCTCCATCCATGTTGCTGCAAAAGGCATGAGTTTATCTTTTTGATGGCTGAGTAATACTCCATTGTGTATATGGACCACATCTTTGTAATCTGGTCATCTACTTTTGGGCATTTGGGTTGATTCCATGTCTTTCCTATTGCAAATCAGGCATTATACTGGTAATTTTTTGCTGTTGTTAATTTTTTTCCTCTTGCTTATTTCATTAGGTGTTGCAAGAAGGTAGCTTCATTTGCCATGGGACTCTCCTCTCTCTCCATTTTGCTATCCTGCTTTACTGGGGATGCATAAAATCATGACATTTCACCATCAAAAGGCCTCTGAGTTGACTAAGCAGAAGACAGAGATCTAATTATTCTCTACAGGGTTATGTGAGTTCTCACAGCTACCCTAAGTGCTGGCTGAGTGTGCAGGGTGGGCCCATTCCAACCTTCTGTGCCCAGTCGTGGAGGGCGCCCATCTTCTCAATGAACACTTAGCCCCTTACTTTCATAACTGAAATTCAGATCCTTCTGTGAGAAGGCAGAGTCTTTGCGTGATGTTCCCAATTAAAGATACAGTCATCTGGGGCTGTGGGCCTCATCGTATCAAATTAGCTCTACACTGCAGCCATCCACACATCCCACTGGTCGTGTGCAGTGGGGGATGCTGCCCTGGCGCCCCCTCGGGCCCCTGCCCTCCTGTCAGCCCAGCCCCGGGAGTGAAGCGGCAGCGAGCCCGCTCAGCGCTGGGGGGAAGCGCTTTCATCTGGACCACGGGCTGGCCGACTTGCTTCCTGCCTTGCTTCGGGAACAGCTAGACACGTTGCTCGAACAACCAGCCCCAAGGGAGGCAGTCGTAGCCGACAGCGCAGTCCGGAGGCCGTCTTGGGGTTCCCCTTGCTTTTTCTGCAGAAGCTCTTGCAGCTCCCTGAGCGCACCCGGAGACTGCTCGGAAGTGGAGGGTGTCTCCCCACTGCCTGCGTCCCCGTCTCCTTTCCGGGTCCTTTGGTCATTTGAAGCTGGTTCTCAAGCAGGTCCCCAAGGAAGTGTTCATACAAACAGGGTGACTTCTGCAACATTCCCGCGTTTGTATGTGATCTTCAGAGTGGAAAACCTGGTTCATCCGAGCAAAGCAACCCTTGGCTCCACTTTCTTCAGCATGTTACCGACTGCCGGATGGCATGAAGTTTTGCTGAGGGCAAGTTTGAAGACAGCCCGGTTCTGTTTCCCTCGCTAGCAGCAGGACCCTTTTGCCAGGTGTCTAGAGAAAGTTTTCTTTTGCTTAAGCCTAATAATTTTCCGAGAATGCCTTGTAGCGAGTGTGCTGATCTCCGAGGTATTTGCGAATTACTTAATTTATGGAATTGGGTCTTTGTATTTCAGGAAACGGCTTGAATCACAGTTTTTAGTCTGTGCTCGATTTTCTCCTGTAGTTCGTTTCATAGGCCTCTCAGGGGCTTCCTTGGCCTGGGGCTTGCCCCCACGTCGCCCTCCCGCCCTCCCGTTCACCCTTCTTGGCATGCTTTTTCTTCTTCACCCTCTGTTGCTATGCTGTTGACTTGTTCTCGCATTCCTTTTACTTTGGCTGTCACTGTCAAGATTTCTTTCCTCCTTTGCTCCTGCGTGGCCGCTTTGGAGCACCGCCAGAGGCCCTGTCTCCGGCCCGTCGCTGCGCGGATTGGTGTCTCTGGGGCCGGGCGAGCACCTTCCGCAGCCCGCTGACCGCATGACCGCTGCTGAGCCACCGTTTTCCAGCTCCTTCGCCAACGGAGACACAGGCCCCATGGGCGCAGGAGACAGGCAGGAGGAGCTGGGGCTGCTTCCTCCTGCGGGCGGGCTCCTGCGGCCCGAGGCCCCAGGTGAGGGATCCCGAGGCAGCGGGCCTGGCCGGGCATTTCTGCCGCCAGAGTCGATTCTCACAGCTACCTGGAGCGGAAATTTGGACTTGATAATGTTCTGAAGCTTCTCTTCTCTGTGGTGTTTTCAGCATTTTGGGAAGGTACTCTCAAGAGAGCAATCATTAAAAAATATTTGTCACCTATTTGCATTCGTCCCCAAATTTCATTTTCATAATTAAGCGCTCGATTCCACGCGCTTCTTTATATTCGCTTCTGTTTCTGAGATGAGCTCCTGCTTTGCCGCTGTCTATGAATTATGAATGACGAGGATAACATTTGCTAATGTCTGTTCATTTTTGTGGAGAACGGTATGCGTGGACTAACCACCAGGAGCTGTTTCTAGGTGTGTCGCTGGTCTCCCCTCTGCAGGGGCGTCTCCGGTTCACGCCTGCAGCCGTGGTCCTTAACCTCTCTGTGACAGAGCGATACTCATTTCTGCGAATTCCGCATACGTCTGTCTGTGCTTTTCCTAAGCCAGCACCCCGTTGCGCATCAAAAGTGCCCCCTTTGGGCCCCGAAATACGCTCCCTTTACTGCAACAGACCCACGGAAGCGCCCTTAAACCTCGGATTGCCTCTCCACCCCTTTCGAGTCGGCAGGAACCCTTCAGAGGAGATCCTGGGAAAACCGGAAGGCGAGAATCGGACGCAGGGGCCAGGAGAGGGCCACCGAGTGCCCCCGAGTGTCATCGCGCTGTGGCCGGAGCCGCTCCTGTCCCTGAACAGCAGAAGAGTGGCAGAGCAGGCCAGGTCAGAAGTCAGGGGCGAGGCCCCTGCGCCCCCAGGCTGAACCCCTGCGCTGGGCCCTGCCCTCGCTGCTGTTCTCACCGAATGCTCCCCCAAGCCCGATGCCAGCCCCAGCCCCAGCCCCAGGAAGAGCTGGCTTTGTGTTTTACTCCGCAGCCTGCAGGGTCTGCTCGGAGACTCTTTCTGTTTCCTTTTGTTTGGGAGGTGGGAAACGGAACTCCCAAGGACTGGCAGTTTGTTAACCGCAGCTGAGTATTCAGAAGTGTGCTTAATTGGAGTGAAGCTTATTTGCAGACATTTTAGGAAATAAATCTGGGAAACCACTTGTGATTCTTTGCAGTGGGCTTTGAGAGCGAAAATGGCTATATTTTAGATTTGTTTTATTTTCTTTTATTATAAAAGCAATATAGCTTGTTGCATAAAAGCCAGAAGCACCGGGCCACGAAATCACAATTGTGGGTAATCCTGCTATATCACTCACTCTTTTGGTGTGTTATCCTCCTGGGTATTTTTTTTTTCTGATGCATAGGTGAGGGATGGGTGGGTGGACAGACAGATGGATGACTAGATAGCCAGACACGGAAGATACGGGCTAAAATAAAAACCAAGCTGTGTTGCCCCTTTGACTCGTGAAAAGTAGCGGGAGGAACGTGCTGGCCCTCAGGCCCTGTGTG